TTAGGTTGGAGGCCATGGCTATTAGGTTGGAGGCCATGGCTATTAGGTTGGACGCTATGGCTATTAGGATGGAGTAGAAGCATTTTTGAGCTTGATGGTGCAAGGGATGTCTGGTCCAAGCGATGTCGAAACGCCTAGCAGCTCGTCGTTCTCAGTGCGGCAAGCAGGCACGGCGAGGGCACGCGCCTAGCAGCGCACCACGCGAGCGCACCACCTGGTGTTTCACCCCCCCGCAAAAAGAAAAACGACGGCGATAGCGTGTGGTGCATCAAGAATTGTGTCATGGAGTGTTTGGGATGGAGAAGTCAGACGTGGAAGAATTGGTTGTTTCCATGTTATCACCAAATGCATCGAACGTTGGGTATAAACCGTGAGTGGTCAGCACTGGCCTCCATGTCACGAAGTAAATCCCACATCACGAGGACCACGTGAAAACAACAAAACCAGGAGAGGGGAGGCCAGGTGGTGGGCAGGTGGTGGCCGAAGAAATCATTGGTCGAAGAAGGATTGTCAAAGGGACGTTGTGGCTTTGAGGTACTTAGTACTTAGTACTATACAATCTTGCCATGTCTTGTCTTGCTTTCAAAAATGAAAAAAACACCAGATTGCCACACAATCGCAAGGATCGCAAAACCCAACCGCAAACTGATCAGCCAATCATAGCCAATCGGTTTGGTGTCCTTTCAACGAGTGTCCATCTTCACCAATCCCAAGATCCCCCATCTTCACCCCCCAAGTTTGTCCCGAAGCTCCTCGCCGCCACGTCGCAGACGGAGCGGGCCGCGCGGACGGCGCCGCCGCGCGGGCGGCGCGGAGTCGCAGGGATGGCACAAGAGCTCGGGATCAGGAGGCACAGGTGGCACAGGTCGTGAACTAGGTGAGGATCTCGAAGCCTTTCCAGGCGACCTCCTCCAACTTGCGGAGGCCTCGCGAAAAGCCGCGGACCGCGGACGGCCCTCGGTGGTCGGCTCATGGAAGGCCCGCGTGGTATGCCGGACGAGCCGGGAGGGAGGGACGGTGATTCGCAGGGAGAGAAACTCCAATTGTTGGTGTTTCCGAACCCAGAGCAGGGAGGATACACTCTCATCACAGGCCTTCTTCCTCTAGTCGTTCTGAAGCCAAAGTCTGGGTCAGTTTGATTGAAATCAAGTGCTCAAAGCTTTCAAAAAGCTTCAATCTCGTTTTTGAGCATTTCCAGCCAGAAACTCCTCCTCGCCCGAAAACGAATTCGTGAGTTTCGATGTCTAGTCCGTCCAGAGCTATCTGCAAACCCGGTTCAACTGGAAACTGACTCATCTGAGCATCTGTTTCTACTGACCCCCAAGTCGGAAATCCCTGGAAACTCAGGTTAGAGTAGTATGTTACAGAAACCAAACACTCAAGTGGGGTGACCTGCAGTTGTTCCGGGAAGAAAGTGTGCCAGTTTGCTGGCCACATACATCGTAGGTGGAGCCTCTTGATCAGCAGCGCCTACCCAACTACCGTGACAAGGCTGTTGCTGCTTGTACATCTCGACTACCGCCGGCCGCGACTAGATCCAGCCCCCCAATGGATCAGCTTCCGTCCCATCCATTTTGTGGAAGGTCCAGCTGCAAACCCTAGGGATCCAAGTACCTTCTCAGAAGGTACGACTGGACCCTCCAAACCTACATAACTGTCTCCAGAAGGAACAACTGGATCCCCAGGCAAATGGAACATGTCGTGATTCGGTGCTGTCGACCAGACAGCTCCGGCTGCTCCGCCGATTTGCACGATCTTTTTCACGTCTGAACACGTGGAGGTCAACGTGTTGGCAGCAACTGCGGCCAGACTCCAAGAAAACAACCCCAGGCCATTGATCGACCAATTAGATCAAGGGGCCACAAGTCCAAGAATTTATAAAGCTGCTCAACCATCGGTTTGCAGTCTAGCCCTTCAGCTGAGCCCCTCCCCTTTGCGGGTGTAACCACCTCAGAGAGCTCGCCCGGCGCTCGCCCTTTGTCGTCGGACCGGGCCTCCCGGGCGGCCCAGGGGGCCTTTCTGATTGAGGCTGTAGGGCACTTCACCTGCATTTCGCAGGACCCTGCCACGCGCCGCGCTGCTACGCGAGGCGTTTCGCCATGCGAAACGCCATGCGAAACGCCTCCCCGGTGCCGCGTTGAGAGAAACATCTTGAGAGAAAAAAGGTTCGCAGTTCACTGGGGCCTAGCCTTCAAAGACGTTAAACATGTTATTGACATGGTTTTGTAGTGTAAAATCCTTAGCAAGACAATGGTTCAGACCATTAAAACAGCTGGTGAGCGTGGGAGGCTTGCGACCGACGCAACCCGCAGGCTTGTCTCGCGCGGTAAGCGTCAGACCTGTGCCCCGATCGCCGGAGAACCAAAGGAAGGTGCTGAGGCGCCAGGTCTGCAGGGCTGGTGCCAAGTAAGAGGACCTGAGAGCCATGGCAGGTTTTTGAGGTATTTCTGGTGATGGTGATGAAATGGTATGACATTCTGGGAAGGAAAAACGAGCTCCCCATCGAATTCTTGCATTTAGCTAAGATTGCTCGACTTTAGCAGTTCGCTGTGCTGTTTGGATCTTGAATTGACCAAGTAGGATGCATACTGTAGATGGTCATGATCAGCACGACTTTCAGAGCAACCCTCCAGCTCCAGTATGTTCCAATGACATCGTGGTGGTTCTCGACTTTTTCTAGTCTAACAACTGGTAGAACATCCATGAACCTTGCATGTCTGTGTCTAGCGTCCACGCAACATGCGCGGAGGCTTTTGGGGTGGCATATACCGGCCTATGTAGATCTTCCAACTGTGCAACAGACCTGCCTTGTCATAAAGTGGTTCATCCCATAAAACCATCCGATTTGGGGCAGAAGCCTCGTCGATCTCGTCGATCCCTCGCCTCCCAATCCACCGGAAAAAGGCAAATGCCGCGTCACCGCGAGAACTTGGGCGAGGTCTTCTCCCGCAAAAAGCGCTTCATCACGGGGTCGTCCAAGGGCAAGGGGGGATTCCTCGGTTGGGTCGGACGGTTTGGTGCCAGCGATCAAACCGTTGCTCGTCAAGGACCGAGGTGCGTGTGCACCGCAACGTCAGGGTGTTGCTTACACCCAAACCCAGACGCTCCATGTATGGAATATGCCGATCAGTTGGGGTGGTTTGGGGGGTCAATGTAGGCATATATGGCATACATTGTCTGGGAATTTGCAGGATCACTGCGAAAAGATGTGAAAATGCAACATCTCTGTCGTGGGTGGGGCTGAGTAGCAGGGTCCACACCCAAAATGGCCTCTGAACACAGGGACCAATTCGTCAGGTTCTCCATGTCTGCTGCGTTTGTTCTTCTTCGGGTTTGAGGGATCTGGTGCTTTCAGCGCGAGGGCCTCCGCTTCGTACGTGGCTTGGGCGCACGGATGGTTCAATGGAACATGCCGCTCCAACGTCCGTGCATTCGGGTACGTCGCCTGGCGTCCCGAAGCTGGAAATCCGTGCACAGTCTGCAGCTTGCGATCGATGTGAAGGTCCGGAGCTTTCGAAGGAATCCGGGCCCTCGAATATACATGCATGTATAGGTTCGGGTCCGGACCCCTGCGAAGGTGTCGGGTTCGATGTGGTGTCATGGACAGCCCAAGGATTGTTAGGGCTGAGAGAAAAGAGAAAGGTCATAAAAGGTCTTCATTCCATTCCATGGGTTACACTCCGACGATATAGAGTTCGCCTCCTGTTTCTAAAGGACAGTCGTCTTCCTTTCGGGGTCATGCCATCCACGTAACCATGTTTTCTGTGTTCGTCAGAGAGTAAACATGGAGTTGAACCGGTCAGCCCCGGTCTGCCCCGGTCTCCCGGAGCAACGCTGGCGCGCCCGGCGCAGCCGGCGCCACAAGCGCCACGCGAGTGGCGGGTTGGTGTTGGCGCGGACGATGGGGGAGTGGCCACACTCCGTGGCTGGGAAAACTCCACCGAACCGCGCAGGTCGCCATGGGACTGGATGAGGAAAAACACCGAAGCCTGCTTCGCGTGCGCGCGCCCGCTTCGCAACCGAACTGGACAGCCCAAGGCTCAGAACCGACACCTTCACGCGGTACCTGCGCGTTTGAAGCAAGCAGCAAGCAGGGGGAGGCAACACGGGAGCAGCAGCAAGGAGCTTCAGCAAATCGCGACTTGAGGTGTCTATAACCCAGACACTCCATGTATGCCATATATGCCTACATTGGGGTGGTTTGGGGGGTCAATGTAGGCATATATGGCATATATGGAGTGTCTGGGAAATAGCCTCTTAGAGGTTAAGAGGTGGCCAAAACTACCTGTTGGAAGGTCCTGGTATATATCTATAGCACCTTCCAATGAAATGGTGGACCTGGTGTTGTGTGAAATCCTTACAACTAAAACAATGATTGGTGGTGCGGGATTCAAACCACCAAAATATCAAAATCATGGTGGGCCAGCAAGTCTATGAGGTTCCAACATCCGGGAACAGTCCCGTGATCGATTGAACAACCACTTTCTCTTCAGCGAGACCTCTCCACTTCAACTCCCACGAAGCGCGTCCATCCAGAAAAGTCATTTGATCATTTGTTGGATGACTAGTATAAATGGTTTGGCTAGAGAGTTCCCACCAAGGATGTGCTGTTTCCCGGAGCTGAGAAAATAAAGACACAACATCTTCACCAGTTCGTTGGAGAGATTGACCCATCGGAACATCAACAAAAAGATCACGCGCCAGGTTGTGCCAGGAGACGAAGTCACGGAAGTCACGGATGTCCAACAGAGGTTGAAGGACCTTATAGACTTATAGACCTATCCCAGTTCGGTACCCCAGGTGACGGGTCCGAACGTTCAGGTCACTGGCTACCTCTCTTGGGTTAAGAACTCTTCTCGCCACGAACGATGGGAAGTCACGGCGTCCCCCAGGACTGGCCGGAGTCGGCGTCGGATTCTTCCGGTGCCCCCGACCAATGGGAACCCAACACCTCACCCCACGAGCTCGTACAATGTAGCACCTCAAGACCTATGGCACATGATGATGATCAAGACTTTCTGTAGACCAACACATTACAAAACCGCCTATATATTCTTTCTCAGAAGTCATGTATGTCATGTCTCGCTGGCCAACCACACCGCACCACCCACCCACCGACGTCTTCATGTTCGCGGATGCGTCGGCGAACGTCTCCGTTCGGCCGCGCGAACGTCGCCGTGAACGCCGAACGGGGCACCTGAAGTCCTGACGGAATCCCACCAGTGGAGGCAAATAGACCGTGAGCTGATGTTGGTAGTAGCCGCCTGGCGGAAGCCACGGTTCGGACGTCAAAGGGGGCACGGTGACACCCGGACAGATCCCGAGCTGTCGCGCTGGTACGGAAACAAAGCCGCCGAAGGGTTTGGTTCTTGTGACACAGGCATCCGAGTTCGGTTCACGTTGGGAAGAGAATCATCCCCATCCACACCCAGCTGTGAATTGATCATAAATCATGAACATTGATGTAACCTCCACTCGCTTCCCACCCCCTGACCCGGAAAAGCAGAGCCTGAAAGCCTGATCAAAGCAGTTGTTGGCTTGCTCAAAAGCTAATGATACTGATAATGTAGTCCTCAGATTAATAAAGACCCCTAGAATTATGTCTTTTTTTTTCCCTGCACTGATTAATAAAGGCCCCTAGAATAATGTCTTTTTTTTTT